CCCTCTCCCCTGCATCTAATCCAAGGGGAAATCCTCTTGTTCTAGCTTTCAAAATCACCCCATCACCTTCATGACTCCAGCCTGGTCCAATTCATCATAGTCTGTTACTCATATTATTGCAAGGACTCTCTTCTTCCTCCAGTAACCTGCTGCCAACCACACAGCTAGCATTTGATCACATCGCTCCTGTTCAGGGCTCTCAAATTCCCCCAGGCTGTTCTGAGTAAAACTCAGTATTAAGTACCCATGAGCTCTTATGCTGCCCTCCCTCTTCCCTCCCGGTCTCTATAAGCTAGCTGTTGCTCATTCCAACTAAGCTCACTGCCTTCCCAGGCTCCTTCCTGCCCTGGGGTCTTTGCGCTTACACGTCCTTGTGCCTAGAAGGCTCTTCCAGATTTTTACTTAACTTGCTTCTTCATTTCTTTCAGATCTTTGCCTGCTTATTCATTGAGCTAATTGAGATATTTCCTGATCATCCTATTTCAAATTGCAAACTCTTGCTCATTCCTTATCTCCTCCCTGACTGACTTTCCTCCTCAGCATTTGCCACTAGCTAAGGTAACAAAGGCTGTATTCACCTGCTGCTGTTGTTTTGTTCCATACAACCTATTAGAGTGCAAGTTTTGTAATGATAAAGAGTCTGTTCACTGCTTCCTCTTCCCAGCTAGAACAGAGCCTGGCTCACAGCTACCCAATAAATAGTCCATGCCCAAATGATGCATTGCTGCCTAATCCATTTCTTTCCATTCTCTCTCAGAGTCTCACAAGTTATGATGTCTGCAGTATATTTCTTGGGACTTCGACCATGCTTGTGTGGCTTGGGGTCATCCGATACCTAGGTTTCTTTGAGAAGTACAATGTAAGGAATCCCACAGAACCTTTCCAAAGTTGTTGCAGTTCTTGGGCTGAAGGACAGTGATGCTCATTACTCTTTTCCTTCCACAGCTCCTTATCCTGACCCTCCAGGCGGCACTGCCCAATGTCATCAGATTCTGTTGCTGTGCTGCAATGATTTACTTAGGATATTGCTTCTGTGGCTGGATTGTGCTGGGGCCTTACCATGATAAGGTACTGATAACAAACGGATGTTATTAAGCTCTTAGAATAGGGCCAGTGGCTTGTTTTTTTATTTTTTTGTTATTCTTACTTTTTATTTATTTATATTTTTGATTTTTTGAGGTAGGGTCTCATGTATCCCAGGCTGGCCTTGAATTCATATATGTAGCCACAGATGACCTTGAAGTCATGGTCCTCCTGCCTCTACCTCCCAAGTGTTGGGATAACATGTGTGTGCTATCATGCTTAGCTTGTTATTTATCATGTTTTTCTTTGTTTTAAGATTTTTTTTTTTTTGGTGGGGAAGGAGTCTGGAGAAATGGCTCAGCAGTTAAGAGCACTTGCTGCTCTTGTAGAGCAGCAAGTTGTTAGCCACATGGCTAACAACTATCCGGAACTCAGGCTCAAGGGGTTCTAACTCCCTCTTCTGGCTTCCTTGGGCATTGTATATCATTGGTTCACTTACATGCATGCAGGCAAAACATAAAATTAAATAAATCATAAAGAATTTTTCAAAGATTTATCTATTTTTTAATATGCATGAGTGTTTGCTTACATGTATGTAATTTATACCACATGTGTGCCTGGTGTCCATGGAGGCCCGAGAGGGCATTGGATTCCCTGAAACTGGAGTCACAGATGGTTGTGGACCACCATGTGGGTACTGTAAACCGAACTCACGTCCTCTACTAAAGCGACAAGTGCTCTTAACTGCTGAGCCATCTTTCTAGCCCCCCATTTATTGTTCCTTTTTTTATGTGTATGTGTATATTGCTTGCATGTAGGTAAGTGCACCTGTGTCGTGCAATGCCTATGGAGAACAGAAGAGGCTGTCGCCTAATACAGGTGCATCACATAAGCACCTGTAGTGTGGCTAGAGGAAGGATGAAAGGAAACCTGTGCACATGCTCATAGCCACTGTGCTAGTAAGGTCTTTTCATGTCTTAAGCATGTGTGCATTTATCTGAGCACATACAAAGTACAGATCTTGGGGCTGGAGAGATGACTCAGCGGTGAGAGCACTGGCTGCTCTTGCAAAGGTCCTGGATTGGTTCCCAGCACTCACATAGTGGCTCACAGCCATTCATAACTCCATTTCCAGGGGATCTGATCCCCCCTCTTCTGACTTCCATTGGCTTGAACACATGTAAGAGCACTGGCTGCTCTTGCAAAGGTCCTGGATTGGTTCCCAGCACTCACATGGTGGCTCACAGCCATTCATAACTCCATTTCCAGGGGATCTGACCCCCCTTCTTCTGACTTCCATTGGCTTGAACACGTGTGTGCCTTGTGTGAGGGTGAGGGATGGGGGCGGCAGGAGAGCATGTGTGATTTACGAAGAACCAATGTGATCCCCTGGAATGACATCTGAAATCCCAGAAAGGGATGATGCCCAGCTGGAACTGAATTCAAGTCCAAGTCTCATAAAGTTACAAGTCTATCTGAAAGTAGGTTCGACAGTAAGAGCCAAGATAACCCAGCATCCTTATGGGCGAGGGTCTTCTTGGGCTCTTAGCACGTGTGGTCTATTTACACAGATGCAGACAAAACACTTATACACATAAAATAAATATAAATAAAAAACAAAATAAAATTTTTATCCTGTAATCCAGTTTTAAAATGTATTGCCACTTTTATAGACTAGTAAAGTGTGAACACTTTGCAAGAACCATTGGTTTGTTCCACTGCCTCAAATCCTAACTGGAAAATTAGATAATTATGTTCCTTCTCCCATCAGTGAAGTTAAGTCCATTTGACATTTGCCAGTAGGTAAACCTACTAAACACGTGACTTGATTTAAAAAGTACTGTAGGTAAATGCTGGATGCCGGATGCCTGGCATGACTCTAATCCCAGCACTCCTATGGTAAAATGAGAAGTAGTGTCAGAAGTCTGGAGAAATGGCTCAGCAGTTAAGAGCACTTGCTGCTCTTGTAGAGCACCAAGTTGTTAGCCACATGGATCAGGGGTTCCAACTCCCTCTTCTGGCTTCCTCGGGCATTGTATATCATTGGTGCACTTACATGCATGCAGGCAAAACATAAAATAAAAATAAATAAATCATAAAGAAATTTTCAAAGATTTATCTATTTTTTCAATATGCATGAGTGTTTGCTTACATGTATGTAATTTATACCACATGTGTGCCTGGTGTCCATGGAGGCCAGAGAGGACATTGGATTCCCTGAAACTGGAGTTACAATGCCTGTTAGCTCCCAAGTAGGTGCTGGAACTAGATCCCTGCAAGAGCAGCCAATCCTCTTAACCACTGAATCATCTTTCTTGCCCCTACCTTGCTGTTTTTACTACTGTGACTTTGTAGTATAACTAGTATAACTTAAAATTGTGATAGGAATGCCTTCAGCTGTTCTTTTGTTGATCAGGAGGTTTTCTTTTTTTTTGACTA